TTGATAGAGTACTAGAAATTTGATATGCATTGAGATGGAATTTTTTTTTTTTGACTAAGGCATAGTATCTTCTTATTGAGGCAATCTTATTCAAACATTGTTGACAACTAAGGGTGTGTTTGGTTGGAGGGGAGGGGAGGGAAAATGAGCCCCTCCCCTCATTTGGTTAGAAATTTTGGAGGCATTGTGGGCACCTCTCCCAGTGGAGATTCGAACCTTGGTTCATCATGTTATGAGGAATTAATTCTTTCTACTAGACCCAATCCTTATTGGTCACTGAGATGGAATTTTCATAAATATAGGAAGAAAGTTGACGGAATAATAAGCAACATAACAAAATCTCGAGTCAAAAGAAAGCCCACGTCCTCAACAACAAAAAGAGAACAACATAAGTGAGCCCAGTGCACATCTAGATCCATTTGGCACAAAATGGAAACAAGAAACTTCACTCCCATTACATGAACAAGAGCTTTCTTTCATCTACAAAAAAAATAAAAGTATATTTTCTTACATTTTTATTTTCTTTGATGACTTTTCCATATGCCAAATAAGCAGTAATAGAAGATACTACCTTTAGTCCTTAATATAAGACATAGTTGACTAATTTGGAAAGATTACGAAAATTAATTAAGTTAGCTATTTATAATAAATAAGTGTTGTCTTCCCTAAAATATTCTTGCTAATCATGTGTCTTAGCTAGAACTATCATTTGATGAAACATTTAACATGTGCAACAAAGACTATTTTGAAAAAATAGATAAATATGAAAGACATAGTGGATTGAGATTTTATATTTAAGACCAAATTGAAATTCAAACAAACTTTTATATTAAAGATGGGAGGCAATATTAATGTTGTGAAAAGGAAATTTCAGTTGGACTGGGCGTTGCTATTGTTGCTTTGGAAGAACTGGTGGAATCAAATATGTAGGAAGGAAAGTATTACATTGTTCATTGTATACACTTTACACAACTCTGTTAACAATAGTTGAACCTTAAAAAAAGGATCCCAAATTTAAAGGGATAAAAAATTTTGTAATTTATTGTAGGCAATATAAAGTGATGGAAATAAATTCAATAAAAGGGATTTTAATGATCATACTTTTAACTGCTAGAAATTCTCCTACTACTAGATTTTTCTAACGATTAATTAACCGCTAGAAAGTTTCTAGTGTTTTGACCATATTGTGTAGCGGTTGCCATAACCGCTAGAAATTTTTTCTTGCACTTGATTTTCTAGCGGTTTTTGTAACCGCTACAAATGTTATTTGTTGCAGTTAAAACCACTAGAAATGTCTTATTTTAACCGCTACAAAATACATATTTTTTTGTAGTGTGAAGTGCAGTTAAAATTCTGTTAACTAAACTCTTCTGGTCTTATTTATAGGTAGAGTGAGAAAAATTGTTTTGGTCATATTTCTAGGGAAGAGAGAAATTTTTATGTGAATATATAATTTTACTCTTCATTTAATATTGTATTGACTTTATTCTCATAGGCTATAGTGCATATTAAACAGGAATAAAATTAAAACATTATTAAATTTTAAATGAAAGATAATAAAATTTAAGATTTTTTTTTTGTCTACGTGAAATATATGAAAATTGACTTATAAATATAACCAGAGAGTATTTAATAATTGCACGACTCCATTGCATTGCTTTAAAATTTAAAGTGTGATTTGAGAAGACAAAGAAATAGGGAACAGTGTGGACAGTTGTTTCATCGTTTTTCTTTTAAAAAAAATTATTTTCTTTTGGTAACATTTTTATAAATTATTTCAGATTTTTTAAGAAAAAATTGCAATAATGTCCCATTCAAGAAAATTAAATACAAAATTTTTTTTTTAAAATCATCAAATTATTCTGAAGTATCAAGGGACTTCATTACAAGAGATTTTATTTGTTTGATTACCAAATTACTTGTTTTTTTAAAGCATGTATTGACAACTGAAAGTGCAGTCGTTAACAACTTAAAGCATAACGATTAATAACAGATATTAACAACTTTTAAATTAGTATCAAGTATAAAACTAGCACCATACTATCCTTCCCTGCAATTATTATTATTTTTTACACACACATTTCACTGTTCATATTTATTTTCTTAATTTGACTCAAATCTTTAAATCAACTTTTATTTAACGATAATTTTGAAATAATCAATAATTAAATTCTCCTATTTTTTTTTCCATTATCACTGGAAAAAAAAAAACTAGACTTGGGATGTTACAATCGCAATTTTTCCTTTTTTTAATAGCAACTTGAAACCCAATTGACATTAATCGTGACCCAACAGGAGAGGATCAACTTGATAATTTGTTTTTAAGATATGATGACAAGCAAAAATAATATATTAGGGTAACATCACATACAGTGAAGATAAGGTACAAAATATGAATGAATTTAGGAGGACAAAAACAAATGGGGTCAAACTTGCTTCAAAAAGGGTTTAATTATTGGCTGCTTTTAGTAATGTGATTGACCACAGTATCTTGCAAATTGGCGTCTATGTCATAACAACCAAAATTATGGAACAAAGGTAGGGACATTATCAACTTGTTAATGGTCATTGTGAAACTGATGCTCAAGCTTCGGCAACTTTTTGTTGGGTAGATGACATCCCAAGAGGAATTGGATGTTCATGCATAGATAAGTGCTAGCGAGTAAGGGTACATTTGATATGAGAGAAATGAAGGGAAGGGAAAAGAATGGGAAAAAAAAATTTTAATGAGCTCAATTTAAAAAATTTAGAAAATGGGGTTAAAAACTTTTAGTTGAATTTTATTATTCTTTTATCTTACATCTTCTCTTTATTAAAATTTTAAAAACCCACTTCTCTAATTTTTTAAATTGAGCTTATTAAAAGTTTTTCTCCTCTCCCCTCTCCTCCATTTCTCTCATAAGGTAAATTATTTAAATATAATAAGGGTTAATAGTATTGATGCTCGCTATAGTTTGATCAAATTTTGATTTTAATCTTTGTAGTTTCAAATTGTGATTTCTAGTCCATGTAGTTTCATAAAAATTTGGTTTAAATTCAACAGCTTTAACTTTTAGTTAACATGGTTAAATATATGGATCAAAATAAAAATTCATTACAAATACAGAAACCAAAACCAAAACTCATTAAAATTACATGGACTAGACGAGTTTTTTTTTTTTTTTTTGTCTCGTAGTTTTAGCAAATCTTGGTTTATATCCTTATATAAAAATGTAAATTGAAACGAGATTATTATGAAACTATGGGGACTAATAATCACAATTTGAAACTATGAAGACTAAATAAAATTTGATCAAATTAAAAGGACTAATAATGGTATCAACTCAAATAATAATTACTTCAATTTTAAATATAAAACTGAATAATTAATTTACAAATATTAAAAAAATTAATTCAATTAGTTATGCATAGAAATATGTTTTAATTTTCTTAAAATATCTTATTTACCACTTGCATTGAAAACTATCCTCATTGATGAAATTATCTTGTTTGGGAAAAGACTTGTAAATTTTTAAGACAAAATAGATTAAAATCCTATATATAGAATAAAAACAAATCTCCCGTTAAAATAGGAGGGAGTATATTCTGCAGAGGCTTATTGTGTGATCTTAAGAATTTGATTTCTGGAAAAGCTTGCAAAGCACCCCTGATTATGATTAAAATAATAATTACTAAAACCGTTTGGCGAAGAGAGGCTAAATCAGATTAGGATTGATTCATTCACATTGGTGATGACGCATGAATGAAGAAAAGAGACAAGTTTTCTTTGGCATCAGAGAAGCATCAACTACCGAAAGGAGACATTAAACAATTCATTTACCATCAACATCTTGGGATTGAGTCTGAATCTTGGCTCTGATTTCTCTTATGATTTGAGTCATGTCATGCAAGTGGTAATGCAGATAAACCCATGAGTCACAAGTTGACCCACCACACATCCAAACAAGGCAAAAAAGCCCTGCCTCTAGACAACTTGGCAATCAACCAACCTGAGCCCACCTCATGCGCCCACCAACCTCTTCTTTTAGAAAAATTAATTTTTAATATTTTCATGTTCATAAATTTTTAAATTTTTTAAGACTAAATTCAAATAAGGTTGCACTTTCATAGAGTTAAATCAACCCCAAAACATATAAATGTAAACATATAAACTATTTTACATGATTATTCTATTAATATAAAATATTACCTCTAGTTATTAATATAAAAGATAATTGACTAATTTAAGTAGATTAAAAATTTTTGTTGAATTAGTTATTTATAATAAATAAACACTCTTTTTCCTAAAATATTCTTACTAATCATATATATTAGCTAGAACCACTATTTGATAGAACATTTAATATGTACAACTATTACAAGAACTATTTTGAAACAAAAATAGATAAATAAAAAAGATAAAATGAATTGAAATCTTATATCTACAACCAAATTAAAAACCAAACTAATTTTTATATTAAAAATTGAAGGTAATAATAAATTAATTAAAAGGTGGGAAACCAAATATAGAATCAAGCCGTTAACATAAAGCAAGGCCATATTCAAATTATGAGTAGAGGAAATAATAAAGTTATATTAAGTGAGGGAGACAGAGAAAGCGAAGGCAGTCACCCTGCTGAGGCTGAGTTAGCAAGTTAGCAATTTGCCAATCCAAACCCGTCATAACCCTCAAGTTCAACTCATATCTCCGATTCTAGTACTGTCCATATACATTACAAACTAACTTTGTGTATTTAGAGGGGACATGACTATTTGATCCGAAGACAAGGGCAACCAGAATCCAAACCTTACAGCCTTCAACTTTTGGAATAACAAGCACTGCTGAAATTTTGGCATAACAAATATTAAATATCTTCTCAAGAACCCGCAAATTTGGTGACAATAGATATACCCATTTTGCAAGAATTGACAGCAGCCTTATTTTTGGGAACTTAACAAGTCTTTTCTATTTACAAATAAACTATAAAAAGCTTGTCAAGTTTTGGAAACAGGTGATCCCGTTGTTCTGCAGAGATGAGGTATATAGAACAGAAATGTCTTGCCCTGATTGTAGTGCGAGGGAAATCCAAGTTTTAAATCTGACCTTAGTTCGTATGAACTGCCGCCTTCTAAAGGGAAGGAAAGATGACATATAGGTAATATGGAAACCCAAAATAATGTACTTTGGGGTGTAAGAATACAATAAAAATTCCCTGCACATCCTGCTAAATAGTGCCTGTTGTTAACTAAAAATAATGAAATTCTAACTTAGGACTTAAATTTCAATGAGACAAACCACAGCCAACCGTGGCCTTATTCTTTTGAAAGTCAAATATGATTATTTACAATTAAAAACCAATACTGATGCAAAACTCGCTGATATATATATGACCAGCCGTTGAACCTGTGACTTCATACAAATGGGGAAGCATAATGGAAGAGGTGAAATGTAGACTTCAACTGAGGTTGAGGAAATAAGGTAAAAACCTGGTGTTTTTGTTCCTATGATCCTCAAAATTATCTATCTCTTCCACTTGATATGTTGATCCAAAATTAAGTGACACTTTGTTTCTTGGGCCCATTGGAAAATACCATGAGTTTCGCAGAGTCATGCAAAGCAACACTTCACATTTTCTTCTCTCTATCATACTCCATATAGCGGTAGAAAGGTTTTGATGAAAGAATAGGCAAGGGCTCCAGTGAATACATAACTGTCCACCCTATCGAGTATTCCACCTGTACGAAATGTTTTACATAATATGACATGCTATTGTGAAGTTCAGGATATCATTTATGTAAAATATAAAATCTATAGAAAGTCGTGCTATTCGTAAATCATGAATAGTGCAGCTCTTCCTGGGTTCTGTACATTTTCTTATTGTTATTATTTTGATCTTTGTCCACATATTTGCATCGAGTTTCCTCCAATTTTTTTTCAATCCAAATTTTTCCAACACATTTCGCTAGGGTTTAATTACTGGGCAAAAATCATTCGCATACAAACGCAACAAGTTCCAGATTCATATCAAACCAATTAGGACTCAATGACACCACTTATCATATCCAAAATTTCTCTACCATAAGTCAAAAGTAAAATTAAGAACTTGACTTGATTTTACTTTGAAGAATAAAGGAAATTAAGCAGTTCTATTCTAGTATTTATATTAGAAATTAATTCTACTCATTTTCTACATGACATACTACATTCCATTTTTTAGATTGGTGCTAAGAAGAAAGGTTGTTCAAAATGCATAAAGCTTCATCAGGCGATTAGATTTTGTTTTGAAGATAGATGGTTCCAAGAGGAAGAGAAATGATTGATAAGTAGATCCCAAGTTGGAAAAAGGAATAGTATAGTTGACTCCCTTCATCTTTAGCTCTTGGCTTCTGGTTATCCTGGTTGGTTGCATGAATGCTGAGAGTTTCATCGCTAGACGGTAAATAGAGGTAATAATAATCATAGGGTATTGATTGTCAAGCAAAAGGAAGGGAATAGGAAAAATAGCAGGACAAATGAGGCAAGGCCTAACTTGAACCAATCTTTTAGTTTAGACCAAATTCCACTCACTTCGGAAATGCGCCAAAATAAGATATTTGTATAGTTGACCACGTAAAGCACCTCATAAATTTATATTTTGGAAGGTTATCAAGGATCGCATGTGAGAACTCACGCTAAACTGCAAATTTTCCTACCTGGCCAAGGGAGCCGGGAAAAAAAAAAAATTAAGACGATGAAGGTTCAAATTTCAGAAGAGATGTTAGGCATAATGAGCATATTATGTTATAGGCAGCAGTGAAAATGGTCAAACGTGGTCAACGTCCCTGACAATTTTTGCAAGGCATAGTCAAGTTGTAGCATGAAAAATTTCAGGTCATTTTGGGTAGGTTTGAGAATCCAAATTAAGCACGAGCAATGCTAGTCAAGAGCACACAGCAAAACAGGGCTGTTTCACAAAATTAAGGAATCAAACCTTGGAATGTTCAAGCAAAAGTTGGTTTACAAATACCCAAGACCATAGGGTTGAATTCTGGAGCAACTTGTGTGCTGGCCAGAAGTTTTCATGAAGGTTTTGACGACTCCAAATATTAAATTTTAATTATTTATTGAAATGTGATTAGCATCAAATCGTTTAAATTGACCTTTAGGCAAAAAGTTGCTATTATATATCTTAATGACGTAATTTTTCAGATTTCATAATCTCAGGAACAGTGACTAAATTCAATTCCATAAAAATTCTTTCCTTTGCAGCTAATGTCCTCAGGCTTTTGAAAAGAAAGCAATGGAAGAGTGTGCAACCTTCTGGCTCTATGGCTTCAAGCAATCACCTAGAGCAGGGCCCGAGAAGTGCACCAAAGTTACCATGACTCAAGGATATATAGGCAACCAATCTGGTCATACAATGTTTAAGAAAACTTCCTCCAAAAGAGAAATTGCTCAATGTGTATGTAGATGACATCATCATCACAAGAAGCTAAACGAAAGAAATAATAAACTTGAAGAAAGCTCTTGCCAAGGAGTTTCAAAAGACGGATCTTAGACTTTTGAGATACTGGAAGTAGCTAGATCATCTAAAGGCATCTTAGTGTCTTAACAGAAATACACTGTTGATCTCCTCACTAAAAAAAAGATTTTTTAGATGCATACCTATCAAAACTCCTATGGAAACAAATTACAAACACAAGTTTATGCAAGAAAGCACCATTGTCGACATTTTTTTCAGTGACTTGCAGGCAAACTTGAAAAGGGACTTAAGTAGAACAAATATCAAGTCAAATATAATGGACCTATAAAAATACGTTGTGATAGCATGACATCCCTGGGGACTGCAAAGAACCTCGTCCAACATGATTGAACTAGACATATGGAGATCGACAGTCACTTTTATGAAGGAAAACATTAATATTGGAGTTATTGAATTAATCTACATGCCAACAAAGACACTGGTGGTAGGCATATTCACTAAGGCCTGACCTAGAGCAAGAACAGAAAAACTTGAAGGCAAGTTGGGAATGATTAACACCAACTCTTCATCTTGAAGAGTTAATAAATGGGCAAGCAAGTTACGGGGATGATGAGATCAAACAGATTAAAAAATATTTCAAGGATAAAACCTGCGTCTTTACTAGTGGTGTCTTTCCTATCTCTCTGTTGCACTCATCCCATGGATTCCTCAAGGGCACTACCCTGACAGGTAAGTAAAGAAACTGGGGAACATTTAATACTCAAGGGTTTCCTGCTGCGCCATTTTGTAGCCTTAGTAAATGAGGACTTTCCATTCTCCTCTATTTTCAGTTGATTCCCTCTTCCCAAAAAAAAAAAAAATTCTGAGAAATATATAGGAATTTATAGTTCATCACAAGAATGTTTGCAAGTAAAATGTTATTACCATGACCAGGTATTAGGGAGCCAGAGTCTTTAACACCCGCATCACGTTTAATCATTGATTCAGTAAGATCACCAAATACAGATCCAAAGAAATTCAGAACACCAAAAGCCATTGCACTGAAAAAAAACCATGCAAACAGGTAAAATTATCATGAGTGTCAACAGATGTCCATGGGAAAGGACTATTAGTGCAAACAGGTAAAGAACATATGAATGCTAATCTTGAACTATAAGGCCATTTACTTGTTGACAAGGGGCTATTACTGAAATGACAAAATTCATTACGCACTTCAATATCTTAAAACAAGTGTTGGCAACGGAAAGTTGCATGGCAATTGGCAACCATCTATGCTATCAGCATTATTACACTAAAGATGAAGGTAACAATCAAAACTAAGTGACGCAGCTTTGTGCAAGTTCAACATGACTCTTTTTTTCCCCCCGAAAAAGAGCAAAGCTAAGTAAACCCCAACTCATAAATTTAGTAAACCAAATACATATAATAAGAACATCCCCATAATATTGAAATTAAATTCAGGGCAGGAAGAGTAACCTGAACAACGATGCGGGCCAGCTGAAAACCTTTGATAATATGACAGAAGTGAGTATACACCCACAGAAGCCTATAATAGTTCCCTCCCACGTCTTTTTGGGACTGATACTAGTAAGTGGAGTTCTACCAAATGTCTGCATGGAGTTAAACATGAATCTCATAATCAAAGGCCAAAGACATGAAAAAATGAATATTTTAGGATCCATTCTCTGCTGTACCAGCACATCACATGAAAAGCTGCTAGATAAAATACAACACAGTTTGTCTCCTAGCAGGAGTAGGCCATAACCACTTTCCCTATAAGAGGGATATCGTGCTTTTACCAAAGTTACACAATAATACAGAGATTACTTTCCTCCTCCCCACCCCCACCTCTCTCTCTCTCTCTCTCTCTCATGAGCACACACAAGATCGCCCACTCTCAATTTTGTTTTTCATCATATCAGGCCTAAAGGCATTGATCAGCTTCACTTCATTTAGTGCCCTGAAGGCAAAGTCCAACTCAGCATCCTCCTGCATCATGCCATGCAAAATGCAATTCTGAAGATTTGTTTGTTATATTATAATCCCTCCTCCGGTCCTTATTATAAGCTTCATATAACTAATTCACAGATAACAAACAATTAGTTAAAATTAGTTAAAAGCAATAAATAAGTTAGAAATATACTTTTGTTTCCAAATATGCCTTTGTAATAAATGAGAAAAAAGATGAAAGAGTGTGTGGGAAAATTTGATAAGAGAGAGTATGTAAAAGCAGAGAATAAATAATTACGAGAAAAATTGGGAAAAAAAAAAGCATTAAATGTTAAGACAAATCCAAATTGAAGCTTATAAAATGGATTATATCCTTTCCCAAATTTGAAGCTTATAAGTAGGACCAAAGGGAGTATTATCTTGGACTTTCCTTTAAAATGTTTGTCACTGATTTAATGGGATTCAATGGTTAATATCTTGTGGCCACATATCCCAGTTTATGCAACCTTTATAGGAGCAGGCAAGCAACCAGAACTTTTTCCTCCCTGATATTCTTCATCAATGATCTAAGAATTAAAAAAAAAATTAAAAAAGAAAAGCTAAGAAGCAAGAACATTGAAATGGACGCAGCTAAACAAGAAAATCTAAAGTATCACTAAGTGTTTTATAGAGGTATAACATGTCTAATATATCAGAGTGTTCAAATGTGTTGGACATGGACACAGCTTCTCCTGTAAGTGTCAACAAATTCATACAAGGATGTAGAAATGATGAGAGTTGGCATATTATCAAATGCGAATATCATATCTGAAAACAAATTATAATTGTAGAAGAAACTGGAAGTAGCAGATTGAGAAGCCTAATTTACCTTGCCTCCAAGAAAAGCAAATGTATCAGCTGCAATTATGCTGCTTATGGAAATCAAAGTTGCTACGAGACCAACAGTCCAGTGGGCTTGACCACCAAGAAATATAGGCCATGTTGCACCTATTCCTACCAAGATTTAGTCTGGTTTCAACAAACTGGCGCCATACAGAGCATAGTAGGGACTAGAGAGGAGGACAATGCCAAACAAAAATAACTGACCGGAGATGAACAGAATAAAATAAATTTTGCAAACATACATAGTGGGATATGAGCCTTTAGTGATAGCCAACAACTAATAAACTTTTCCTAATTAGAGATCAATAGGACAATTACTTGTGTTCAAAGCTGGAGCTGCTAACCCACACCGAAGCTTCACCCAAAAGCAAGGAAGATAACCGCAATAAAACAGCCCAAAGATGGCACTACTTAGCTGGGCAAAACGAGGGTTCCCCCTTTGTAAAAGTAATGCCGTAGCCACAACAAAAGCAGCAGAAGTCACAGAAACATCAATATGACCACGATACCTAGACATGTGTTAGAAGCACCAATAAGTAACTAATAGCTATTAGTTTTTCAAACCCAAGGTCAAAGATGAACTAATATGTTTCATAAGAACTGAAGTACTCCACAAGTCTTCTCACCATGCAATTAGAAGTAAAGCACGCTTATCTATGTACATCCACTCAACAATATATGCATCAGAATTCGGAAAAGACAATGTCATTCATCCCTAGCTATCATGACAATATAATAATCAATATCCATCAATATATCATATAATATCTAAAGAAAGCCCCACTATTCATAGGCCATAAACAATGGAGCTCACTTCAAACTCTATGTGAAGCACAAGACCCATGGTCTAGTAACAATAAAATGATGTATGTAAGAAAATTATAGTTCTCAAAACTTCTACCAATTTCTGACACATTTATCAAAGCTTCTGGTTTTAATGAACCAATTTGCTCAACCAATACTCGCAGCACACAAATATGCACAACTGGACTTCACCTGGAAATTTTAAGATTTTTTGTCTGAATCTAAATGTGTTCTCATCTGTATTAAAGGGGCAAACAATTATTAACAGGTTCTTTCTTTCATCTTATTTCAGGCAAGTGGTGAGCGGGGGAAGAATGGAGCCCACACTTACTTTTAATATCCAAGAGAGGAAGATAGCCTCCCCTCCCAAGTTTATTTCCATTAATTATACAGCTTAAGAAATGCACCAACTAATGTGTCATGAAAATATTTTAGGTGCACATTTTCAGTAAGATTAGCCAACTAAGATTCAGAGATAATAGATTGTATTAGACTGTTGAAAGCAACATCTTTAGACTGCCATTTACTAAACAAATAATGTCCCCAAAAAAAAAGCAAAATGCAACATGCATGAGCAAAGAGGCTATCATAGGAAGTAAAGAAAAATAGCAAATCTTACATGATAAACATAGGCATTAGGGCACAAATGATGGAGCAGACTCGGGACACATAGCGAGGAGGAGGGGTCATTCCTTCAGTAATTCCACGACTACGAACCAGCTCAAAGTATTCACGTGCACCAGCAAAGACAGCAGCCGCAAAGGCTACTGTGAAAACCCATCCTCCAGCCAAGACAACACCACCAGCAGCTAACCCAATGCCAAGTCCAAAAATAATTCTGTTTTTTAACTGACTAACTTTCTGTTGAGATTCCAAGATTACATCTTCCTACCATGACAAAGTAAGATCTCGATTGACTTCCCATAAACATGAACTTCAAAATTCATCACACATTTCTTCATCAACAGAATAAAGCAAATACAAATTACATTAAAGAATGTTTGCTCACAGAAAGGAAAGATGGTACAAGTAATTAAAATGTGAACAATTAGAAGCTAAAGTGCGCCCTAGATAAACATTAATTTCATACAAATTTAAAAGTTCATCCGATTCTCCGAACTTATTCTTAGCGCAGTGAAGCTTTAAACATGGACCATTTTTCTTAAAACGCATGCGTAGCTTCATTTGAATTTACTCCTATTCCAGGTTCAGAACGATAATGTATGGATTATCATATCACCATCAAGCAACCAAATTCAGTTCTTCAAATTGTTATCTTCAATTTACTACCACCTTAAATTTCACCCATTTTCACTCACTAAAAGCATCGAGAATGCCAAAGCCCTACTGCACCCAAACGTAGCACTAAACCAATACCCAAAAACAAACGCACAGACGTCACGGAGCCACAATTTATCAATACCGTATACCCAAGCACCTTTTCCGCATTGCCTTCGTCAAGCCGGTCGGGCTCCGCTTGAGCTACAGCTGTGATGACGCGCCGGTGAGGCAAGAAACCGTTTTGACTAAACCGAAGCACGGGTTTGCGTCTCGTGAACACGAGACGGATATGTGTGAGCTTGGAGCAACGGCGATGGAGAATTAGGGACTGGGACGATACAGGACGGCAAGGACAAGTGCAGAGTGATGGCAGAGAAAGAGGGAGATGCTTGAACCTATCAGCATCCAAATACGATATCGTTGCCATGTGAAAGGAGGGCGTCTTCCTGTACGGTGGAAGCGACAAGGATAAGGTCAATTGGCGCTCGGATGGATTGAAACCATTTGCAGAGATGATCCCCAAATTCCTTGGCTTCTCAAAATCTCAAAACGGAAGTTGAATTGCGGTGATTCATACGCACATTTTTTGTTCCAACAACTAGGTTGGTTTCCCCTTTCTAGAGTGCTACTGCATCTGCTCAGAGCTGGGAATACAGGTTAGCCGTGCGATACGTGCCAACTTGTAGCGGTACAGGCTGAAGTAGTTGCACCTCAGTGAGCTGGCATTTTGCGAGCCCGTCAGTATGCCTAAAATTTTTTTTTAAAAAAAATTATTATTATTTGTATAGTTGAGTTTAGTTTGTAATATTAAAATTATATTTGAAGTTTTAAACTTGAGTAGTAGATTATAATAAAATAATGTGATGATTAATTTATAATTTGAGAAGACATTTTAGAAAAACAAACACATATTTTTCTAAATAATTAATTTGACTATTTTTCTTATTCAAATTAATTAAGTAGATATTTTATGTGTGTATTACATATACAATTACATAAATGAGAAGATGTAAATATGAAATTTGAGGGTTAAAATCCTCCAATTATGTTGTATAATATATTGAGAATTGTATAAAAATAAAAATAAAAATTAAAAAAAAAAGCAGGAGCACGTCAACCTATGAGCTAACCCACAACGGAACGGGTTAAAAACGGTGGGTCTGGAGTAGCCCGCACCTTGGCGGGTTGGCAAACCTACCATTTTTGGCGGGTGGCGGGCTAGGCCCACGTATTACCAGCTCTACCTGCTCTTATGATTTTATTTCACCTTGATTGAAATAAGAAGAATCCAAAAAAAAAAACCTTTAAATTTAAATATTTTAAATCAGTCATATTTACTATTCTTTTCGAATCTATCTATGAGCTTTAAATTTGAAAAAAAAATGTGTAGTATATTTTATAAACTTCAATTTAGGTTTGTCTTAACGTTTAATGTATTTTTTTCAATTTTACCCGTAATTATTTATTATCACTCATTTGTTATACTCTTTCTTATCATATTTCTGTACATATTTTCTTTCATCCTTTTTTTCATTTATTATAAGGATATATTTGGAAATAAAATTATATTTCTAACGTATTCATTACTTTTAACTAATTTTAACTAATTGTTAGTTATCTGTAAATTACTTATTTGAAGTTTATAATAAGATCAGAAGGAATATACTTTAATAACAATTCACAACATTTAAAAAATAAATAGTATCGCATTTTTGTGCGACATTTTGTCCCATAGACAGTTATTCTACGCCTACTTACTTCTTCTGAATTTATCGGGACTCATCCTAATAAAAATTCTACACTTCTAATTGAATTAGTACAACCTCTTTACCTATTAAACTCATGAGCATGGGTGAATTCCCCAAATGTGGGTGATAATTCGAATACTATAATAACTTCAAGGCATATTAAGGAGTACCATGCCCCACGAAAAGTACAAACATTACATTCAAAAGATGACACAAGGGAACCAGAGATTCTCCTACAAAGATATTTGTTTTTAATAAGCACATGTATCTTTTTATTAAAGAAAATTATATTCAAGTCAGGTCTTATATTTAGGATCAGAAGAATATTAAATATCAGTATCTCTTCTAACAAAAATTCGAATTTTGATTCATCACAATGTGAGTAGTTCAAATCTATAATCTACATTTTTTATTTTTCATTTTCTTCTTTTAACACTTTTTACTTTACTCTTATGGTGTGTTTGGCTCAATAGAAGGATGGGAAGGAAGGGATTTTAATGAAGGGAAATCAAATATAAGAAAAATAATGGATTTTAATATTACTAACCAAACAAATAAAACAGTACAATACCTAAACTCCTTCATCAAGATCCATCCCCTCAACGGGAGGTGGAGATTGATCAAGGATGCCAAAATTTGCTTTTATGTTGTGGGAAGCTTTTGCAAGATAATCAACGGCAGCTAGGTTTTCTCCAGGGCTATAAAGCAATAAGACCTACCAATTCCTAGGTATGGTTTTTCTAGCCTCATTTATTAACTCTTTAAAAGTATAATTACAATCAATATTCCTAATACAAAATTTTATTGCTTCAATACAGTCAGAGTATAAAACAATGTTCACGTAGCCTTTGTGCCATCAAAGATTAAAGCCCTGAATAATGGCTATCAATTTAGCTATAGCTGGAGGAACCACTGAAAGTTTGCTGCTGAAACCAAAAAACCATCTACCAATTACATCTTTGATAACACCCCGCATCTATTCATACCGTTTGGAAGAAAATAGCCATCCACCTGTAATTTTATATCTCATTTGGCAAAGATTTTAATATTACTTTATTTGATTTAGGAAAGAAGGGAAGGAAACATATTTTTATATGGACGACTTTACTATCATATTATTTAAGTTGCTTTTTGCAAACTTTGTAAAGTCCCCTGAAAATTTTCAGAATTTATCTCAATCTCTAATTTTTTATTTTGAATTTTTTCTGAAATCAGGCTTTACCGATAAAATTTTGGTAACAAATATGCTAAAATTAATTTCTACACTTTCAGGCCCTAAAAATAATTTTATAAACTCAAATAAATTTTTAAATAATTTTTTCATATTTTTTCCAAAATTATTGAGGTCTCTACATATTTAAAATAATTATTTTTGCTTAATTTCCACTATTTTTCCTGAAAAATCTGTATTTTCAGGAAATTTTGTAATAAGTTATTTTCATGCTATAACCACTTCCAAAGCCTCAAATAAGGTTCCAAAACCTTTAATTTACCAATTTTCTATTTTTTAGGAATTTTTTGAAATTTTTATGTAATTTTTCCATTTTATCCTTCATAAACCAATAATTTCAAAAATACTAATCCGAACCCTATCTGGATTTTTTGTCATGCCTAGCTTCATCAGCCAGTCTACTTTCCCTATTGGCCCTTAACTTAATTTTTCATTCCAATTATCAAAGTTAAATTTTGCAGATGTAACAAAATGATTTTTGAATGTTGGATTTTGTGGATGTAATTTAACTCGACATTTGCTTGCAGCGGAAGGCCATTCATTTTGCAATGATTAGTATCTTGAATCTCACAATTCTTGGATTGGGCACTATTGTTTAACAATAAGTTAGTAACAAATTTTCGAATAAGTCAATAACAAATAGAAAATGAACACAAAAAGAAAAGGCCAGCAATAGACAACAAATCAAATTGAACTACAAGCTATTTCCAGTTCATAAAACCATGTCCCTAACGACTTAAAGCAAGGTAACACTATATTAATCAGAAGAGGCTAGCAATAAACATACAAACAGTAATATCAGGGTTTAGGGTGAGCTTTATGAATGAAGAAATGAGTTACCTAAACCAAGGGAATGCATTATGTATCCAATGACAAAAACCCCTTAGTGTTGATGATGACGACGAAGATCTCACACAGAAAGAATAGGGGTATTAGGGCTCATTATAAGTAGCTCAATGGAGAAATTTAACAACAAAAATGAACATGCCCATGGTGAGAATAGAGTTGTGATGGCAACAAGGATGGACAACGATGGCAATGATGATGAAGTGGGTGGTATGAGCACTCCATATCGTCTCGCAACACTAGCTCAAGAGGAGAGAGCGTTGAGAAATTGTTTTGTGAGAGCACAAAACTAAATGTATGAAAAGCTATACATATCTAGGGCAAACTTTTAACACCAGTTAAATCTAGAAACCGGTGAATATATTTCATATTATGTCACATCCAGCATAATGATAATTAGAATAAGAAATATTCTCAAATTATTGAGGATTAAAAACAATAAGGAGAATTTTGGTAGAAAATAATTCTAGTAATTTTCCAAGCCAACCATAGAAATTTGACTAATTAAGGAAGACTGGTCAAATTTAAATAAGGAAAAATATTTCCAAGCCTTGGAAAATTAAGAAAAAATAAGGATAATATCCTTTGAGAGTTATATGAAATTATAAAGATGGTTTTATGACCAAATTACCCTTAGATAATCTATAAGAGAATTTAAGGGTGATTTAGGCTAATTAAGGGATTTTACTTGGAAAATTCCAAATAAATATTTTTAAGGAGAATAAAATTCCAAGAAAATTCCTATGAGACGCCAAGGAATTATAAGAAATTATGGAATTAAATGAAGATCCTCAAGTATCCAAGATTTTTCCAAATAATGGTGAAAAGTGGAAAAATCCCTAAAGAGAAGGAAATTAATTTTCCTTTTTATTTAATTATTAGGAAATTAATTTTGAGGCAAAGAGGGCAATTTGGAAAGATAAAAATGAGGAGAATAAATTAAGAATCTGATAGAAAATGATTACAGAGGCCAAGCTACTGTAATTATAAAAAAGAAGTTAAACTCAGAGCCACAGTATACTGATAAAGCAAGACTAGTGTCTTGCAAATCAAAGGGATCATATTGAGCCATGTGTCAAGCTCTTGAAAGAGAGGATTTGAATTTGCCAAGTGTTACTCCTCAAATGGAGAGGATCTTGACTTTGGTAATTAATTTCTTTTGGATTTTGTTAATTAAGAAAGAGAAAACAAGATTAAAGAGGGTAATGACACTTGGACTCTCATTAAAGATGGTAGTTGAAATATTTTGGACCATTAAACGAGCTCATCTCTCCCCATTTTCAGATGCATGTTTCGGCCAAGGGAGGAAAGGAGAGAAAAGAGGGAGTCTTGAGGGAAAAGCAAGGGAAAACAAGCACATTTGGTCATACAATCAAGGATTCAAGGTGAGTTCTTGGTTCTAGATGTGTTCTTACCTTATTTTCTTTTTCTTTTATGGTTGAAAAATCTGTTTCCTCTCTCTTTTGATGCTGGCTGAACTGATTATTTAGAGGGAACGGAGTTTTGTTCATCATACTTGTTAAGACACAACAACACAAGCTAGTTCCTAGTGTTTACAAGTGATTATAGGTTGTTTTAAAGCATTTTTCATGGTTGTTTCTTTGAGTATTCTTTTCGGCCAAGTTGATAACTGAACCCTAAGATGAGTTTTTCAATGTTTTAAGGCTTCCATGGTGCTTAAAATAAGAAATAATGTAGGTTAAACCAAAAGGAACAATGTTGGAAGCTTTAAAACAAAGTTGTGATTTTTGGTTCAAGACCTCTAGTGGTTCGGTCAAAGGGTAGCTGAAAGAAGCAGTTTTATTTTCCTATATCTA